TTTGTCTTGATATTGAGCTTCAATCCATATTGAAGACTACAGTCCTTGACCTTTTAGCAGGCACTTGAATGTTTTCCTTCTTGATCTCTTTAATATTTTTCAGAAGGGATGATTTTTCGTGCCATTTTTATGTTTTAAAAGAAAATGTTTTGATGAGTGATAATGGGAACTGATTTGTGAGGTCACAAACCCGACTTTCAGGGACTATATTTTCTTTTTAAAAACCACTGAAAATGGCCAGTTAGAACTGTGAAACTCAACTTGGAAACTAAGATTTACAACACTTAATCTTTTACACATGCAGATTTAATTTCTGTTGAGTAAAAACTGACAGTATTTAAATTACAAACAATGTTTTCTACATATCTAGTATTTACAAATAGAAACTTGTGAATTTGCCTTCATGGAGTATCAGCTAGGAGCTTTGGTGACACAGAATTTGAGCACTTGGCTGCTGGAAAGGTTGTGTCTTTGAATCCACCCAGCATCTTCAAGGGAGGAAAAACTTGATGTTCTGCTTCTGTCAAGATGACGACATGGAAACATTCTAGGGCCTTTCTCCTCTCTTATAACTTGGGGTTACTATGAGTTGAAATGGAGTTGAGGGCTCTCAACAACAATAAAGCATCAGATTTTAATAAAAGGTTCATTAGAGAAAACTGACTTTGCTAAAAGTTTATTTTCATCATCATTTAATGTTCACATTATATTAAAACCCTTTCATGTGTGTCTTGATGGCCTGTGTGTGATACAGAGCTAAATGAAAACTGATTGCAGGCCAGATTTATGTTCCCATGAGTTAATTACTTACTGTATTAAAATAATAATTGAACTTGTCCACATGGTATCTGTAAAAAAATTCCTGCAAGTCCCCACTGGCTTAGTGTGCCTGGTTCCTTAATTTATAATTCTTACCAGATGCACTGCCCATTCCCTATAGCCCTTTTGGTCTTAGAGGGTCATCTGTCATGGTGTTGGGTTCTTAGAGGTAGGCAGAGATTTCACAAACAAGGTGGGATTGTCTTGAGTATGTGATCTGATTGAAGCCAGTGCTGCTTTACACAATTTGTACATCTAATTAGTAAATAGTTTCCTAGGGTTTTCTTCCCTAGAACATTCTAGCCATTTAATACTCAGAAGTTAAATTGTTAAGTACTGTGAGTTAGAGGAACACTTGGGGAGCTTCAGTGACCCTAGTGGAAGAGGAGTTACCCTTCCAGCCTTAATTCAAGTGGTTCAAGTCTGCCAGCCCTGCAAGGAAAAGATGGGCATTCTCCTCCCATGTTATTAGCAGCCTTTGAAAATTCACTGAAGGGTCAGTTACGAGTTACCTGGTTCCAACAGGACAGCAGTGTACACCAGTGTTTATGTGTATGTCTGGAGTCATGGTGGCGTCGCACCTTAACATGAACAAAGGTTAGCAACTTGAATCTTCCAGTTGCTCCCTGGAGGAATGGGCACCTAGAAAGATTTTATAGCCTCAAAAACATAACGGAGAGTCACTGTAGTGGTAATTGGCTAAGCAGTGGGGGAGTTTTTGTGTGCTTACATGCCCACCCACGCAAGCATACACAGAAGGAACCTGGGTGACACAGTGGTTAAAACACTCTGGATGGGAGCTAAAAAGGTCTGAGGCTTGGACCCTCTCCACAGAGGAAAGAAAGGGTAGTTGTCTTCCATAGGGATTACAGCTTTCACGCACTAACTCCCTGCTGTCAAGCCAGAACTGACACTGGGTTTCTGGGCTATAAATCACATGGGAAGTGATTACTTGGCTTTTTATTAGGGAGAGAGAGGTGGGGTGTGTGTGTGTGTGCGTGTGTGTGTGTAGAAGCCTAGTGAGTGGGTGGGTGTGGGTGTGTTATGGGCAGGAGAGAGGGTTTTATTTTTTTTTTCTATAATTATATTTTATTAATTTTCATAAACATTTACAGAGATTTTGGGCTTCCACTCATTCATTGTTGCACTATTCTCTCTACCCTCCTCCCAGTTTGTTCTTGTCCAAATGCCACAGTGCTTGTCAAAGCCAGTTCTGATTAATCTTCTTTGTCAGTGTGTCCTTTGCCATTCCCTATCACTCCTCCCTGAGAGAGACTTCACCCTGAGTCATAAGGAAAAGGGGACGGCGTATTCTCTTAGCTACTTCCTGCTGAAAAGGGACGCTGTGGGTTTCAGGGTGAAGATCTTCTCTCACTACTCTAAAGGGCCCCTTTGGCAGTAGGAAACACATAGACTATTATGGAGATTGATTTTGGAATTCAGATGCACTCTTATTGATTGTGCTTGGCTGTACATGTACATATCCTTCAAGATGTATCATGGGGGTTTTGCAACCTAGAAGACACAAATTTGACTAACAAGTTATAAGTACATGAGTCCAAAAATTATGGAAAAGTAAAAGAAAAGATTCTTTCATTGTTTTACAAACCCTCCCCCAGGTCCCCTCCACCATGCAGCCCTCGCTCTAGTCTCCTGTGATGACAGAAATACCCAGTTACATCTCTCTTTTAGACGGTTCTCTCCCTCCTCTGTTTCAGTGCAGTATACATTATTGAACCCATCTTACTCAGTCTCTCCCCAACCCCAAGGACAGTCCCATTCTACAACAGTGGCATCATGTAATATTTGTCCTTTTGTGACTGGGATATTTCACTCAGCATAATGTTCTCCAGAGTCAACCATTTTGAATAATATTGCATGAGTTCCTTGTTTTTTAATGCAGCATAGTATTCCATTGTGCGAATATACCACAGCTTCTCTAGCCATTCGTTTGTTGATGGGCACTTAGGTTGTTTCCAACTCCTTGCTATTGAGGAGAGAGGGTTTTAGAGAAGCCCTAGTAGTGTAGTGGTTAAAGCACTTCACTGCTAACCAAAAAGTCGAGATCTGAACCTAGCAGCAGTTCCACCTAAAAAAGATAGGGCAGTCCCCTTCCCTAGAGCATTCAGCCTTGGACCTTTGTTCTGCTATGCCCATTGAGGTCAGTCTAAGTTGATGTCAGCTCAGTTGTAGCAGGTTTTGTTTGGGTTTTATTTGCACTGGGAAAAGTTTGAAGGAAAATGCAAAATAATGATGGCAATTGCCTTAAACAAAGGTTTTTTAATTTTCTTAAGTCCTGGTTGTGCTGTGTCAGAAACAGATGAAAATTTCCAGAATCTTCACCCAGATTTTCACACAGTTTTTTCACACTCCATTTTTGGGTGGTTTTTTTAAATGTGTTTATGTGAGAGAGAGAGAGAGAGAAACTCAATTAAAAATAAATTTCATTCTTAATTAAGAGGCTTAGTGAACTGTCTACAGATTTGTTTTCTGACAATTCCAATATAAATTTCAAATTGTGCTTTCTCTTTACATAGGTACTTTTTATCTGTCTTGAGTGGTCTAAGACATTAAAGCATTCCTAGTAATCCTGTTCAGTTTGGTCCCTGAGTTTCGATCCTAGCAGATTATAGAATTTACTGTGTTGTTATGTGCCATCAAGTTGCCTGTGACTCATAACGACCATGTGTATAATAGCCCTGAATCCTGCTCTATCCTGAGTCAATCTCATTGTCTCTGACACCTACCCCCATGACCCCCAGTCACCGAGTCAATCCATTTCATTAAAGGTCTTCCTCCTCTCTTATGTTGTCCCTTCACTCTCCCAAGCATGACATCCTTTTCCAAGAACTGGTCCCTCCTTGCAGCATGTCCAGAATATGTCAGACAATGCTTCAGAATCCTTGTCTCCAAGGAACAGCCTGGTTTCATCCTCTTCAGGACAAACCTGTCTGTTCTCCTAATAGTCCATGGTATATTCAATACTCTTCTCCACCACCACATCTCAAAGGCATCAGTTCTCCTTCTGTCATCCCTAGTCATTGTCCAGCTCTCTGATGCATAACAAGTGATTGCAAAGACTGTGTCCTGGCTCAGGCACACTTTAGTCTCTAGACTGACATTGTTGCTCTTCAATACTTTGGAGAGGTCTGATTGCAGACTTTCCCAATGCAATTTGTCTTTTAATTTCCTGTCTGCTGGTACCAAGAGTATTGATTGTACTGTCCATCCATGTTAAGTCATACTGTCCATCCATGTTAAGTCATATTATCAGGTAATAGAAGTATTTTTATTTCAGAGCTTTACAGAAGAATAGAAAATAAATTGTGTATATTTATAGTAATATCTGAGAATTATTATGGGACAAATAGCCTATAAATTCTTAATTATATAGCATTCTTTCCTCCTCTTTGCATAAAATGTCCAGTTAAACAGATTAAAATATTATTATGAGGAGCCGTTGAGTTGGCTCTGATTCACAGTGACCCTGGACAGCAGAACGAAACTCTGCCCTATCCTCTGCTGTCCTTGTAACTTTGCTGTCTTTAAATTCATTTTTCAGTCACTGTGTTAACTTGAGCAAGTATAACTAGGGCAGAAAAACAGCAGTCACTTTATGTTATTGATAATATGGTTTAAATGTTTGCATAGGTGGTGATATTATATGCGTTGAGTTGAAAACTCCTCATAGCTGACCCTATAACCCGGTAACTGAAAACTCCAAAAAAGTTTTCAGAGGCTGTAAATTGCAAGGGAGGAAGTTGCCTACCTTTCTTCCAAAGAACAGCTAATGGATTCGAACCAAATTCCTTTGGTGTTTAACAACGCAACTCCTTAGCACTAGGCCACCAGAACTTCCTGTTTGTGTGAATTTGTATTTTTAAAGAAGAAATTACAACCTTTTCTTTTCAACCTAAATATTTTCCATATAACTTGAAATACCCTTTCCATGTTTATATTAAGCATTATATTTAAAATAAGTGTTTAGGGTTGCAATTAATAGATTCTTAAATCAAGTTTAATGTTTGTTTGTACTTCCTGAAGATTTTACATGTGAATTTGACAACAAGTCAGTTTGCAAATAAAAACCATTTTCAGTAGCTTGTTTCTTTCCTTTTTATTATGTGATATTGAGATGCCATCTGTAAAAATCAAATAAAATTATTTTTGTTTTATATCAAGAAATGGACGAAAAGAGGCTGCTGGATCCAGGGTTGAAGGTTCGTAAAGGCCTCTGGGATTATACTCTGAAAAACCAGCAGATGGAATGCCTGAGTGACTGAAGAAAATGGGTGTTAATGCATCTAACTATCCTCATTCATGTTCCCCGAGGGTAGGGGCCAGTTCACAAGCCCAACAGACCTTTATAGGTAACTCTTCTGTTCTCCAAATTCCATTTTCTTTTGTGAATAGATATAGAATCGTGGTCTTTCTGTGGTCTTTATTAGTGAAAAGATAATCTATGGGAAAATTATTACATATAATAATTTCTGCAGCCTTTACATTTTCCTCCCAACAAATGATGTTGTTATTGTTGTTGGGTGCTGCAGCGTCAGAACGAACTCATAGCTGACCTTCCAGTGGGTTTTTCAGAGGTTGTAACTCATGGGAAGAGACTGCCCATCTTTCTCCACCAGAGTGGCTGGTGGATTTGAACCACCTGTCTTTGGGTTTACAGTGCAGTTCTTTCCCACCGGACCGTAGATGGCTTGTATAATATTTTTCCTAACGAAACTACCACTGCACCGCTCCTAGCTTTGTTCATTATCTTAACCACCAGTTACACTAGCCAGAGTGGCAGTCTTCACTGGCCTAGAAACAGTGACATTCTTATTTCTTGTGTCCTGGTTTATTTGTTATGCCCGTGCAGGCACATCAATGTTACAGTTAAGAAGAAGAAACCTCTCCCAATTATGGACAAGTAATCTAGAAAAATCTCTGCTGAGTTCTCATTTTCTTAACATCTATAATTAAGATCTAGGAAGTCTGGCCCTTGATAGCCATAAAACCAAAATAATTTCTTTTTCAATTCAGAATAACATACTCTGTCCCTACTTCTTATTTAATGTAAAATTAAGATAGAACAATTTCTTTTCCTTTATAAAACAAATCAGTTTTATTTCAATGGTACAACAATGTCTGCACATTTTTGTAGCATGAAAATACTTAAAATTACTGTGCAAAATAAAAGTTAAAGAAAAACTAATATTATTTTGTTTCATTTTCTTCTTAGGAACATCATCCTATTCTCAGCAAGGCTATGGTTGTGAATCAAAATTGTATAGCCTTGACCATGGCCATGAGAAACCACAAGACAAAAAAAAGAGAACCTCTGGCCTTGCCACTCTCAAGAAGAAGTTTATTAAGCGTCGAAAATCCAACAGGTCTGCCGATCACTCCAAGCAGATGCGGGAGCTCCTCTCTGGGTGGGATGTTAGAGATGTCAATGCACTAGTGGAGGAATATGAGGGAACTTCAGCCTTAAAGGAGCTTTCTCTGCAAGCCAGTTTGGCGAGGCTGGAAGCCCGGACACTGCAGAAAGATATGGCCGATCTTTACGAGTACAAGTATTGTACTGATGTAGACTTAATATTTCAAGAAACTTGTTTTCCTGTTCATCGTGCCATTTTGGCGGCAAGGTGTCCATTTTTTAAAACACTGCTTTCTTCCTCTCCTGAGTATGGAGCAGAGATAATAATGGACATCAATACAGCTGGTATAGATATGCCCATGTTTTCTGCTTTGTTACACTACCTTTATACAGGGGAGTTTGGAATGGAGGATTCAAGGTTCCAGAATGTCGACATCCTCGTCCAGCTTAGTGAAGAATTTGGAACGCCAAATTCCCTTGATGTAGATATGCGTGGACTCTTTGATTACATGTGTTACTATGATGTTGTCCTTAGTTTTTCTTCAGACTCTGAACTGGTCGAAGCTTTTGGTGGCAATCAGAACTGCTTAGATGAGGAGCTCAAAGCTCACAAGGCTATCATTTCAGCACGGTCTCCATTCTTTCGAAATTTACTACAGAGGAGGATCCGGACTGGTGAAGAAATCACAGACCGAACTTTGAGGACTCCCACAAGAATTATATTAGATGAGTCCATTATACCAAAAAAATATGCGAAAGTAATATTACACTGTATGTACACCGACGTGGTGGACCTCTCCGTCCTGCACTGCAGCCCCTCTGTAGGGAGCCTCAGTGAAGTCCAGGCTCTCGTCGCAGGAAAGCCAAACATGACTAGGGCAGAAGAAGCCATGGAGCTTTACCACATAGCACTGTTCCTGGAATTTAACATGCTTGCACAAGGTACGGCTTACTGATGTTTCATTCTTTTTTTCCTGGGATTAGGTGCCTCTTCCAAATTGAAAGCACAGCCAGTACCTTCTGTGATTTTAGTGTTGGGATATGTGCTTAGGTCAGGGGAGGTTTTTCACATGACTTCTGAGATAGAATAATGTGGCTCTTCATTTGCTCTTAAAAACAGCTGCAAAACTAGGACCAAGCACATTAAATGAGAATTTTGAGGCTCTCTCTTTCCTAATGTAAGGTGATTGGTGTGAGAATTCATAACTGCCCACCAACATGCTGTTTCCAGCCAGCCTTTGAATCAGCCCAGTTTCCCAGATTTCAAGGATTTCCCTGATTGAGGACTCCTTGAATAACTTGAGAAGTTAGATGCTCACACACAGTGCTTGTTGATACTCAAATGTCAAAAATTTCCTAAATTCTCAACAAAATCATTGCAGAAATGATGACGGACGATAATGACATTTGAACACAAACTTACTTGACTTGAATTGGGTAGGAATTCGGATTGACTTTTTAAAATATCTTGTATCTTATGTGTAGGGTCACCCTGTGCATCAGATCTGTCGCTGGTAAGGCACAGTGAGTGCTAGACTCAAGTGCCTTCTTCATCTAATTTAAAATAAAATTCTTAATTTAGGACAGGATTTTTTTTTGTTATAGGCAAATGAATGCAGGAGAGTCTTATTATAGCAGTTCATGTATATAGATATATAATTTTAAAAAGGATCATTGTGTGTCAAAATTAGCATTTCAGAACTGAAAAGTCACCTTCTGGGGCAGCAAACTCAAAGAGGGAGTTTTCTGTTTTGACAGAAGACATGCTTCTTTTCCAGTGACCATAAAAGAAAACCAGCTTTTGACATGAGATTATTTGAGAAATTGATGTTTACTAAAAGAATTGTAGAAATTACTAGTTGGATGAAAATATTAATGGTTTGGGTAGAAAGACTTGTACTTCAGTACAGATAGTTTTCCTTTCAATTTCTTTCTCAGCGCCTTCGAGTCCATCCCATAGAGATTCCTTCAGGTTCCCAAGCTGTAAATTGCAACTGGAGGAGACTGCCAGTCTCTTACCCTCAGATTCAAACTGCCCAAGTCCTGCAGACTTTGAGTTAGCAGTGTAACGCCATGGACTGCGCCACCAGGGCTCCACAGCACATTAACAGGACCTGCGTGGGGAGGTTGAGGGGAGACAGTGTGTAGAAGCCCCAGTTAAATAACAGTAATAATCAGAAGGGTTACACAGATAAAGGCACTCGTAAACATAGTGACTGCTGTTTATTTACACAGTAAAAGCAAAATTATCAGGAAATGCCTTTTCAGGAAAATATAAAGATTATAACATTATTTAAAAGGGTAAAATACTCTAGGTATAATACTCTATTTTCTTAGATTATTATGTTTTTAATTTAAATAAGAAACCAACATGTATATACATTTCTGATTTTTTAATGAAGAGAGAGAAAAAGAATTCCTTAATATAATTTGGAAAACTTTTAATGAGAAGTAAAATAATAAGCCAGGTTCTTGGGTAATACTGATTACTTGATTTTTCTAATCTAAACTACTTAATTTTTTTTGTCAGTTAGAAAATTTATTTTGTACATGATATTAAATGTATAGCACAATACTTTTTTCTGAAATTCCCTTAAATTCCCTTAAAAGGTACACAAAGTTCTTCTGTTTCCTTCTGTTATTTAAAATAGAAGGTTTGTGTTTTGGGTATTTGTTATGTTCTTCTCCCTTACCCACAGTGATACTCTGTGTTTGGCGTTTATTACAGACTTTGATAGCTTTTTGTCTCATTTTCACAAGAAGGAGGTACCTGGTCGTCTGGGAGTTCAGGTTCTGAAACCAGATAGACTAGATTTGACTCTTCTCTTTCATGCCTTGACTTGTGTGACCTTAACACAAAGTCACTTAACCTCTCTAAGCCACTGCTTTCTCATTTGTGAATTAAGAATAGTAAGCCTGTGAGGTAGGATTATGAAGATTAAAGCAAAGGATACACATTTATACGTTGACTGTTCTGATTGACAAAAGGTCCGTGGTAAGCATTCCATAAATGTTAGCTCCTTATGAAAGTCTTAACACATGTGTCTTTCAGTATCACAAATGTATTTTTCTCTCAAAATCACTGTGTTGTTAAAAATTATTTTATAATTGTATTTCTTAAATCCAGTGCTGAGAACCTTTTGCATATTTTTGCTACATAATTAATTTGGTTTTTTAAGATTTTTTTAAAAGTGTTTGGCTCTCTGCCACTCTGCAGTCAGCTTTTTTGTGTGCTGCACACTAATCTCACTTGTATCCAGTGGTCTTAGTTATGTACCGTTTTAGTAAAAGTTGAAAAAGTAAGTATTGAAATAATATTCTTTGTTAAGTGATTCCATTGGAGATTTCCAGGGAAAAATAACATTAGACTATTGAGCATCCTCTGGAATGCCCATGTAATTTTGTCTTTATGTCCTGAGTGAGCGGAACATGGTAGGACCTTAGCTAACACATTTAAGAAAATTCCTGATAACTTTTACACTAAATTAGATTTCACTTTCACTTTTTAAAGCCCAGATTGGAAAGGAAATATAGTGCCGGGATCTGAGACTGACTAGACATGACCTTCAAGGTGAGAAGGTCATTTAGTCATTTCAAAAGCATCATAAAAAGAATATAAGCATCTAGTTAGAGTAGGTCAGTAAAAGGATAAGAGAGGGTTCCAACCTATAAATAGACACATATTTAGACATGTTGTTGTTGTTGGGTGCTGTCAAGTTGAGTAAACTCATAGCAGCCCTGTGCACAGCAGACCTGAACGCTGTCCTGTCCTGTGCCATCCTCATCACTTCCGACACAAGTCAGCGCATTCCTGCAGTCACTATGTCGATCGTTGTTGGGGCTTCCTCTCTTTTGCTGAGCTTCCATCTTTCCAAGCTTAATATCCATTTTCAAGAAATAGCCTCTCCTAGCAACAAGCCCAAAATAGGAGAGACAGAGCTTCACCATCTTTGCCTCTGTCTGCAATTTATCCAAGACATATCTGTTCTTTTGGCAGTCCGTGGGATACTCAGTGCTTTTCTCCAATAGCGTAAAGTAAAGGCATCAGTTCTTTTGTCTTCCTCGTGCACTGTCCAGCTCTCAGATGTGTAACAGTTGATTGAAAAGTTCATGGCCTAAATCAGGTGCACCTTAGTCTTTAAGCGGACATGATTGCTCTTAAGTATTTTGGAAAGGTCCCTGACAGTGGACTTTCCCAATGTTTGTCTCCTAATAGCTAGTGTCTGGGGTGTTGATTGTTAATCCAGATAAGATTAAATCATTGACGCATCAAACCTTTATCCATCTGTCATGATATTGGTTGTTGGCGCCGTGGTGAAGACCTTTGTTTTCTTGATATTGACATGTAAACATTACTGAAGGTTGTAGTTCTTGATCTTCTCCAGCAAGCATTTCAAGTCCCCACGTTCAAGAGATACATTGACAAAGAATTTCCAGAAGTCAGGCTGGATTTAGAAGAGGCCATGGCACCAGGGATATTGCCAGTGTCAGGTGGATGCTGGCTGGAAGCAAAGAATATCAGAAGGATGTCTGTTTATGTTTTAATGACTATGAAAAGAAATTTGACTATGTGGATCATAACAAATTATGTCTAATATTGAGAAGAATGGGAATCCCAGTACCTAGATCAAGGCGCTGTTGTCCATACAGCAAGGGAACTACATGGTTTTAAATCGGCAAAGGTGTGGGTCTAGGAGGTGTCCTTTCTCCTTACTTGTTCATTCTGTACACTGAGCAAGTCTTGAAGCTGGATTCTGTGAAGAGGAATTTGGCATCAGGATTGAAGAAGACTCATTACTAACCTGTCTTGAGCAGATGACATAACACACGTTGTTAGGTGCCATTGAGTCATGCATGACTCATGGTGACCATATGAACAACAGACCTGCACTCTGCCCTGTGTTGTGCCGTCCTCATCTCTGACACATTTCAGCCCATTGCTGCAGTCAGTGTGTCTTTCCATCTCACTGACAGTGTCCCTCTCTTTTGCTGACCCTCCACCTTTCCAAGCATGATGTCCTTTTCCAAGGGTGCCCTTCTAGCTACATGCCCCAAGTATGAGAGACATGGGTTCGCCATCTTTACCTCCAAGGAGCTTTAGGGCTACACATTTCCCAAGACATATCTGTTCTTTGGCAGTCCATGGGATATTAGACAAGTAGATAGTCATTATTAAACCGATTGCTTTGAGGTCAATTCTGACTCATGGCTACCTTGTGTATGTTAGAGTAGAATGCAGAGTATGCATTGGCTTGGTTTTCAGAACTAGCTCACTGGGCCATTCTGAGTGGACTCTAACTTGCAGCTTTTCACTTAGCAGTTGAACACGTTAATTGTTAGCACCACCAAAGGATTTTACTTTTGGGAAAGTGAATTAACAGGTAATACAGTAAGGAAACTGTGATTACATTGTAGATTTTGTTATATAAAACAAAGTGTTTATGAATGGTAAGCTAAAAATTAATTTGTCTTTCACTCAAATCACAATTTTAAAATAACCAAGACCAGTAGTAGATGCTCAGTTTATTTCAGTGGTCCATTTGCCTAGCACAGATTTAACTTGCAGTCAGTTGGCCAATCTTGGTCCACTCACTCCTTTTCCTTTCCACACCTGTTTTGACCAAATACAAGGAGCTGAGATTTCTTTTCTACAGATTGTGAATTGGATAGACTCTAAATCGGGAAGGAGTTCTAGAGGAAGGTGAAATTATGTGCAAGCTTGCAGATTTGAAGTGACATCTTGCCTTCCCCTACTCTAACCCCAAGCAGTCATGCACAGGACATGTTGGAGCTCAGGTGAACTTTGTAACCCATGAATATGTCTTAGCCCATGAATATGTAAACCGGGCTGTAGACAGTAATGTTTTGGCTTTCACAATAAAATTATAGTCAGGAATTTTACACAGGAAAAGCCAGTTCTGTAAAGAAGATGACTCTCAATA